TCAATTTCCATCTTCTTGACCTTGACACCCTGATCTTGAACATGCGGTGCAGTTGTATGCATTGTGCTATTTGATTGGTACGAGATATCTGCGGTTGTCAACTCATTGATTCTTTTTTCTAACAAACCATTTAGCGATGAATGCAAACCATCTACTTTATCCATCAATTTTTGGTGTTCAATGATGTCCTTTGCTGACAAAACTTGCGATTTGGTCGACTCTTCAAAAAATCGTTGATAATACATACTAACCAATTTTAATTGGCTATTTAACGTTGACAATGGGAGCGATTCAAAATCATCACCATGCACCACAGAAAGTATTCTTTCCAAACCAACAATACACATGTGCTTGGCATCATAATTTTTAACCTCTCTTTTTTTCTTTCTGTCATTTGCTTCGCCGGCGATTTCATTTGAAAGAGCGTCTTCAACGCTTGTGTCATTTATTTCCAGAATATCAATCGAATTCCGTTCTGTGCGACGCTTACCTTTGCCCATTTTAATGTAATAATTTGTCCAAAAACAAAACAAAAACGAATCAATGACACTGAACTATGGTGTTCATGCACTTGTAACGACGACAAAAGTCTCACGCAATAAAAAAAAATATTTCAAAGATACCGTACTTTGGCGTACGTGCACTTTAAGTCTTGATCTCAATTTCGACTATTTAATTGATGGAAAAATATCTCAAAGATAATTAGAATAATTCACTTTGTGCTGAAAAATTCACTGTCTGTCACACTGTGGTGTGTGCTCTCTCGATCACAAAAAAATACCAAGTTCGAAACTGCGCAATTGCAGCACAATCACCTGTATACGGTGTACAGTTATGTTGCCAAAATGAACAAAAAATGCTAAGTTTGTCGCGCACAGTGGTGTGCACACAACTTTTTTTTTTTTTTTTTTTCGAAAATACGAGGGTCACTAATTAAGTTTTTTCAAAAACATATATAAGACAATGGGGTTTCATCGAAAATGGTTTTATTGTTTTTCAAAATATTCGCCATGATGATCAATACACTTTTGCATTCGCTCGAACCATTTGTCATAGCATTCATGCCACTCCGAAAGTGATATCTCCAAAACGTGTGTTTTGAACGCATCAACTGCTTCTTCGGGCGATGAAAATCGTTGACCACGCAGTTTATTCTTCACGCTCGGGAATAAAAAGAAATCTTTGGGTGCCAAATCAGGACTGTACGGCGGATGACCCATTAAATCGATCTTTTGACCGGTCAAATAATCGACTGTTTGATGAGATGTGTGAGAGCTCGCATTATCATGATGAAGAATTATTTTGCGACGGCGGTTGTTTTTTCTTATTTCACCAAACACTTCGGGCAAACAAATGGTGGTGTACCAATCAGAATTGACGGTCTTACGAGCCTCTAGTGGAACTGTTGCCACATGACCACTTATCGCGAAAAAACTGTTTAGTTTCGGGCTCATACGCGTAGATCCATGATTCGTCACCAGTGACGATAAAATACACGGATTTTGAAACACCACGATTGAATTTCTTGAGCATTTGTTTACACCAATCGACACGAGCCTTTTTTTGAGCGATTGTCAAATTATGTGGTATCCAACGAGAGCAATTGTTTCTGACAGCTAAATGTTCATGTAAAATCTCAAATACGCTGGTCGCACTTATGCCCAGGGATGCCTCAATCTCGTGATATGTTACATGACGATCTTCCATTATCATATTTCTGACAGCATCGATGTTTTCTGGTACAACAACTGATTTTGGACGACCTTCGCGGAACTCGTCGATGAGCGCTTGAATTCGTTGTACCAATTATAAATTGTCCGAAGACTTGGTACTTCATCGCCAAAGGCCAAATGAAGTTGATCAAAACACTGTTGTTGTGATACACCCAATCGAAAGTGGAAAAAAATAATCGCTCGAAAATTTTCACGAGTAAAATTCATTTTTTGGCTGAGACGCAATTTACATGTTACGGTAAACAATACAAATAAAGATCGAATGACAAAACGTTCTGAGAACGTTTATGCTACAAAATGTTAAACTTAACGAATATGACAATGGTTTGCATCGGGCAATACTAAAACATACATATTGAAGAAACTTAAATAGTCGCCTACGTAGATACTATCTTTTATCTTATCTAGATGATTTTAGAAACTTAAAAAATCATCTTATCTTTTGGCTTTTTTTGGTATCTTATCTTTATTTTTTAAGATAAATAATAAGATATTTTGGTCATTTATTTAAAAAAAATCATCAATTGTCGGTATGATTAGTTTGTTCATTGAAGCGAAAATGATCAATTTCATGACCCGATTCGTCAAAATTATATTCGAATTCTTCGTTATCAAATTCCATTGCACGCCCATTGAAATCAAGTTGATTGCATTCAAGAAATTTCGATAAATTCTCCTTCGTATTGCATAAATGGCTAGGGGCTTAATACGGCAAAAAAATTCACAGGAATTCACGTAAATTCACACTTTTAAATCGAGTGGTTATTGATGAGTTCGGTGAATAGAATGAAATGTGTCAAAGTAGTAAAGTGAGGTTATGATAACCGCAATATTTTTTAATTTATTATTTTTTCAATATTTCCGATTGTTTTCGATAGAAAATCGCTCAAAATTGAAAATAAAATTAATTTTTATTAAAAAAATATAAAAAACATTTACAATTTCGTTACACAAAATATAAATATTGCAGTAATTGCCAGCAGGAACTATTCACCACTATCTCACATATTTGAATGAAATCGCCGTAGAATTCACTGGAATTCATTCGTTTGCTGTAAAATTCAGTTATTTTAGATATTATTATAGAATTCAGTCGTTGAAAATTTGAATTAAGCCCCTTAATAAATGGCATAAACTCGAGAGTCAAGCGCAATAAGGGCACACTATATAAACGCCATCTATTAATAACCGACTAACTACAATGTAAATCAAACGTATCTGTTTCCCCTTTTTATTTACTCCCTTCCCCTATCGCTATACTTTTACATTGTAGTTAGTCTGTTTTACAAAGATGTCGTTTCTGTGTAAGATGTGTGACGTCACAATGTATTTATATGGATAGCGCTCGACTCTCGCATAAACTCGAAACGCTTTGAAAAAGGTGCTTCCACCATCCGTAACAATATGTGTTATTTTGTGCACTGCCAGATCATATTTTTTAAAGGCGTTTATAAGTATTTTGGTCAAAGCATCGTATGATTTTTGCCATATATCTGTCTAAAAGCTAAAGCGAACGATTCCCTCTGATAAAATCGAATTTGGAATTCCATCGTGTTACGCACGGTGTTCGCAGAACACATCCGACAACTTCAACGCACGATTCATGGGCCCGATTACCCGGACCGATTAATATCCACAGTGCGTGAAGTTTGTTTATAGCAGATATTAATTAACATTCTTTTTTTTCACCTTGACATTTTTCAAAATTTTATTCAAATAATTTTCGTTATCTTATTTTTTTATCTTATCTTTTCGAAAGATATCTTATCTTTTATCAAAAAGATAAGATGAAAATCTTGAAAATATCTAGATGAATTTCGGAAAATTGAGATACTATCTCAAAAGTATCTAGATACATTTCAGATATCTTAACCAAACACTGTCTCAGTTTTCCAACTACTTTCAATAAAAATTACAAAAAAAATGTTTTTTCAAAAACTACGGAAAAAAAAGAGGACATACAAACACCCCAAGCGACCAATTTTGAGGTTTTTGGCCATTTTTGGTAAAATGACCATATTTAATCCACTTTTCAAGCGATCGTTATGATATTTTTTTTTAACATTATCTACGCAGCCCCTAGATTCCGAAAATGTAAAAAAATAAATTCGAAAAAAGCATTTCGGTGGTCAAAAATCGAGAAAAAGGAATTTTTAGCGATTTTTTCTAAATGCCACCTGGCGGCCAAATTTTGAAATTTTTTAAATTTTTTTGCGGTTTCTTAATTTGGTGCCCGAGCACTACTAAAAATTGAGCAAAAACCCCTTTACAAAAGTCAGCGGTATCGATTTTCATTTCTTTAACGTATATATAGAGTGACGCAAAATATACATATTTCATATGTATCTGGGTATTGCGTCACTTGGGGGACTGCCGTCCCCCGTGATAAAAAAAACCCTAGGGGCGTATTACTACTTGTTTACTCACACATTTTGTACTTTAACTTGTTTTTTGGGGAGGGGGAGTGTGTTTGACACGAAAAAATAAAATTTGACGTTAGTTTTGCGATACGATGATTTGGATGCACTTTTCAAACAAAAATCACCAAAAACACGGATTTTTGTATGGAAGCCATGCCTGTACGATGTCATAATGACATGAAATTTTGTACAGATTATTTTTTCTACCAAAAAATAACATTCTGAAAGTTTGAAGAAAATTGAATAAAAAGTAAAAATGTTGAGTCAAAAAAATGCAAATTTTGTATGAAAGGTATATTTATTTTTTTCGAATTTTTTTTTTAACTAGTGCATCTGCCAGCACTAAATGAGCACTAAATCCCTGCATCATTGATTTTTTGAAAAAAAAAAATTACAAGGTGGGGGGCCAGCGACATGATTTTGATTTTTCGACAAAAAATTTTGATGAATTTTTTTTTCGAAATTTTTTTTAACCTAGTGCATCTGTCAGCACTAAATACCTGTATCATTGATTTTTTTTTTTTTTTTAATACAAGGTGGGGGGGGCAGCGACATGTTTTCGATTTTCAAATCAATTTTTTTATGCACTCATAGTAGCACTAATTAAACGGAGACGTGGGTTCGACAGCACTAAATGAGCACTAAAAGCACCAATTATTTTTAACATAGTACTAAAACTGGGGGGGGCCAGCGACATTCACCTGTTGGCACCGATTGTAATTTTGGGTAAGATTCTGATACAGGATGTGTGGAAAAGCAAAGTTGAATGGGACACCATAGTACCATTGGAACTTCAGAATCGTTGGAATGATTTAAAAAGTACGATGATTGATGTTAATAAAATTGCTGTGCCAAGATGGCTTGGAATTTCACCAAAGAAATCCATTGAAATTCATGGTTTCTCAGACGCGTCGAACAGTGCATATGGAATGACTTTTTACGCCAGAGTAGAAAGTGGATTTGCAATTGAATGTAATCTGATAACATCGAAAACTCGAGTTGCACCACTAAAGGGTATGACTATACCACGTATGGAGTTGTGTGAAGCGTTGATGATGGCGCAAATGTGTCAACAAATCTGTAGTGTTCATGATGTGTCAATGAATAAATTGACTCTTTGGACAGATTCAAGCATAGTCATACATTGGTTGTCAAAGTGTCCATCTGGCTTAAAGGCATTTGTTGGTAATCGTGTTGCCGAAGCCCAAGAATGTACAAAGGGAGCGCAATGGAAGCATGTGCGTACAAATGACAACCCTGCTGATTTGGCTTCACGAGGCTTATTTGCAAGTGGATTAGTTGGAAATTCGCTTTGGTTCCATGGACCACACTGGCTGTCGAAACCACATTCAGATTGGCCAGTTAGCAGTTTTACCGTTGATCAACGTGTCAAAGAGGCTACAGTAGCTGAGTCAAGAGCAATTCAGGCATGTGCTATTATTCGAGTTGAAACTGTGCCGCGAATTGAAGTTACAGTAAATGATGTAACATCAGAATTGTTGTTGGATCGTTGTAGTTCGATGATGAGGTTGGTTTGTGTTACTGCTAGAGTTTTGGCTTTCATAAGAATGATAAAAACCAAAGAGAAAGTCTGTTCAACTTTCATTGCCCATGCCGATTACTTGGAGGCTCAAGCGATTTGGATTAAATACCATCAACAAAAATATTTCGCCGGAGATATTGAGCTACTCAAAAATGGTAAAAGTTTATCGCGTGATTCAATAATAGTGAAAATGTCACCATTCGTTGATGGTGATGGTTTGTTGCGTGTTGGTGGCCGTATAAAGCGTTCTATGATGTCTTTTGATACGAAGCATCCGATAATATTGCATCATGATTATAGATTTTCACATCTATTGGTGGTAGAAGCGCATCGACGTACCTTACATGGCGGCACTCAGTTATGCATTCAGTATATTAGACAACGTTTTTGGATGATCGGTGTTCGTAAAGCAGTTAAGAAAGTTTCGCTCAAGTGTATGCCCTGTTTTCGCCAAAGAAAAGAAGTGGCTGACCAGTTAATGGGCGATTTACCGAGTGTAAGGGTTATTTCGGATCATCCTTTCGAATCAGTTGGTGTTGATTACTGTGGACCTGTCATGATAAAGGAACGTTCTGGCCGTTGCAAGAAGTTATACAAAGCATATATTGCTGTGTTTGTTTGTATGAAAACAAAAGCAGTTCATCTCGACTTGGTGACTGACCTTACAACTGATGCATTCATGGCTTGTTTGACGCGTTTGGTTTCGTTGCGCGGGAGCGTCCGTGAAATATTTAGCGACAATGCCACTACTTTTCACGGAGCAGCGAATGAGCAGAAAGAGATTTTCATGCATTGGAAGGGTTTGTCTTTGTCTGAAAGTCTGCAATTGTTACAAGTGAAATGGACTTTCATCACACCTTTGTCGCCGTCACAAGGAGGTTTATGGGAACGAAATGTGCGTAGCGCCAAACATCATCTCCGTCGAGTTATTGGGACTCAGGCTACCCTCACTTGCTTTCTATATCACCTGTATATTTTTTTTGAGCTTCACGTTCCGAGCGACATCTTTATGTGCTTGGCATTGAACTCGCGATCCAAACGAGCACCAAAGGCAATTAAAACATTTTTTTTTTTTTGGTGCGAAAAAGTCAAAAATGTCAACTGATTTTGT